GACGTCATGCCCTTTGTTTCTTATATCCAGTGATTAGTTCATCAATTAGGCTGCTACTTATCCTCATCAAGGAAATGGGAAAAGGAATTCTCCATTCCAAAGGATTATCCTCGTCAATCCTTCCTGCCATACTCATTACAATTTTACCCCTAGTTTTATCTCAAACTAGAAGACTACTTTCATCACATCATTCCTCTATCCAGCAACATATAAATGTCTCCCTACTATTAGCTATGAAGTCTACACACCCTTGGTGATCGGCCCTCTGAAATCTAACAACTACTTTCACATACCATCTACTACAGCAGCTCTCAAACTTTTTGGTCTCAGGACCCCTTTACACTCTCAAAAATTACTGAGAACCCTGAAGAGCTTTTGTTTGTGTGGGTTATATCTATTGATATTTACCATGTTAGAAATTAAAATTAAGAAAATTTTAAAACACAAGAATACACGGGCACACATTGCATTAGCCATCAGAGCAGTGATGCCATCGTACATTACTTAGCCTGGAAAACACCACTGACACTTGCCAGAGAATAAGAGTGAAAAAGAGAAATGATATCTTAGTATTTTATGAAAGTAGTTTTGACCTCTAGAACCCCTGGCTCGCTTTGAGAACACTGCTCTACAGATCCAACCAAAAAAAAAAAAAAAACCAAACTTATTGCCATCGAGTTGATTCCGACTCATAGCAACCCTACAGGACAGAGTAGAACTGCCCCATAGGGTTTCCAAGGAGCATCTGGTGGATTCGAACTGCCGACCTTTTGTTTAGCGCCAAACTCTTAACCACTACCCCACCAGGGTTTCCCCACCAGATCTGGCTTCGCTTAATCTGCTTCCCTATCAATCGTTAATGATTACTGGTGAGTGATTTTTAGGTACCACATCAATAGCCTGAAGGCAGAAAGAAGTATGAGAACCACAGATTTACGAAATCATCTGCAAACTTATTAGCATACCTGCTCATTCACAGTCTAACCCAACCTATCAGTCCTATTTGCTGCTATTGCAATTTCCTTCCTCTCTTCCACTACACTTCAACCAAGATTGGAGTCCACAAATAGAACAAACCCTTTGCCTCTGCATCTCTGAATACACTATTCCCTTTGCCTCAAAGGCCTTCTCTCACTCATCCTTTAGGCCCAGTTCACAGGTTACCTCTCCTATGAAGACTTCCTTCAACATATCCCATCCCCAATTACTCTTTGTCTGTAATTACATCACACATTTTACACCCTCGAGAACTTCTCATATTGCCTGGTAATTATTGTTTACATGTCGGCCTCCCCCACCAGTCAGTGAGCTCATAAAAGCAGACACCTCACTCATCTTTGTATTGCCAGTACCTCACACAAATGTTTGATCATTCACTTGAACTGTCTCCCAAAGAGATAGTTTAATGCTCATCTATCCCCCACATACTCTAGACCACAGTGCTTGCTCCTTCCTCTTAACTTCCACATAGATAATAAGAACAAAGAAACATCCAAAGGAAGCTTTTTAACAATGGACTATTAGACATGATACCAAAAGCATGAGAAGCAAAAGACAAAATAGGTAAACGGGACCTCATAAAAATTAAATACTTTTGTTCATCAAAGCACTTTATCAAAGAAGTGAAAAGACAACCTACAGATTAGGAGAAAATTTTGGGGAATCACATGTCTGATAATGGTTTAATATCCAAAATACAGGGGAAAAAAAACACAAAAACTTCTACAACTTAACAAAAAGACAAGCAATCCAATCAAAAAATGAGCAAAGGGCTTTAGCAGACATTTCACCGAAGCGGACATACAAACGGCCAACAAGCACATGAGAAGATATTCAACTTCATGAGCACTGCTGTTGTTGTTAGGTGCTGTTGAGTTGATTTCAACTCATATTATCAGCGACCCTATAGGACAAACTAGAACTGTCCCCACAGGGTTTCCAAGGGGCAGCTAGTGGATTTGAACTGCTGACCTTCTGGATAGCAGCTGAGTGCTTAACCACTCTGCCACAGGTGCTCCAATTCCAACTTAGGGAGATGCAAATCAAACCCACAATGAGATATCACCTCATCCCCACTAGGAGGGCTATGATCAAAAAAAACAGAAAATAACAGCTGTTGGCAAGGATATGGAGAAATTGGAACCCTCATCCATTGCTGGTGAGAATGCAAAATGGTACAGCCGCTGTAGAAAACAGTTTGGCAGTTCCTCAAAAAGTTGAACATAGAACTACCGTATGACCCCAGCTATCCCAATCCTAGGTATATACCCAAAAGAACTAAAAGCAGGAATGCAGACAGAGACCTGTACACCAGTGTTCACTGCAGCACTACTCACAACAGCCAATAGGTGGAAACAACCGAAATGTCCGTCAACAGATGACTGGATAAACCAAATGTGGTACATACACACAATGGAGTATTACTCAGACATAAAGAGAAATGAAGTCCTAATATATGCCACAACATGCATGAACCTTGAAAACATTACGCTGAGTGAAATAAGTCAGTCACGAAAGGACAAATACTGTATAATTTCACTTATATGAAATAGGCAAAGAGATAGAAACCACAGTTTATTAGTGGTTACCAGGGATAGGAGGAAGGGGAAAGGGGGATTTATTGCATAGGGGGCACTGAGTTTATATTAATGGTGGTGGAATAATTCAGAAAAGGATAGTGATAATGGTTACTCAACATGAAGAATGTAATCAATGTCACTGAATTATACATGTAAAGATTGTTAAATTGACAAATGTTTTGTTATGTATATTTTTATCGCAATTTTTTTTTAAGTCTAAAGGAAACTAATAGGGAGTCCTCCCTACAAAAAGACTAGGGACTCTGGCCTATAGGAGCAAGACTAACTCCCTAGTCTGAAAGTCAAGGGCCTCCATCAAGTGAGTCTACTTCACCTTTTCAATCTTATTTTCTATTATTCTCCAAAATGAACTTTCCACTCCTATCATCCAGTAAATACTCACACTCACAATATCCGTTCTAGTTTCATTCCTTTCTTTATACTCTTACCTCCCAAAGGAATTCCCTTTCCCTGCTATTCTAAATTCTACTCTTCCTTAAAAGCTTGGTTCAAGACCTACAAATCTCATGAAGCTCTCCGAGACTATGTTTCCCTTTTTTGGTATCTATTGCATATTCAATGTGTTTCATATAATCTGGTATTTACAATACATTGTTTTGCCTTGTTCTTTAATAGTGTCATGTAAGTCAATGCTGCAACCCTAAATAGCTTGACAGCTCTTCAAGAGCAGGCACTGTCTTCACTCAAAACAGATTTCAGTGCCATTATGTACCAGGTACTGGCAAGATTTCTAATCTTATTTCTTTTGTATCGGTCCTTGCTAGTAAGAGGAAAATAAAACCACATAATAAATACTACTTGCTTTATTAACTTTCTTCCTCGCTGGTCAGAATAATCCAGGCTATTTTTTTCTAAGGAACATTTTACCTATAAACCTAATTATCAATTTGAAGATAAAATACGTGCTGTGAGATGCATCCTTTTAGTGCCCTAAAACTGCAAGCTTAAATAAGACACTTCATTTAAAGAGAACTCACTCTAAATCCTCAATACAGTTACTGAAGAAGGGCATTTCCTTTTTTTTTTTCTCCTTTATCTTGGATATGGAAACTGGTGGTGTAGTGGTTAAGAGCCATGACTGCTAACCAAAAAGATCGGCAGTTGGAATCTGCCAGCCGCTGCTTGGAAACCGCATGGGGCAGTTCTCCTCTGTCCTATAGGGTCGCTAGGAGTAGGAATCGACTCAACGGCAGCAGGTTTTCTTTTTCAGCTTGGATATATATTTTCTGATTTTAGCTATTATAATTTTAGCTCCCTTAACACATTCTGAGAGGAGCCTTGGTGGTGCAGTGGTTAAGAGCTCAGCTGCTAACCAAAAGGTAGGTAGTTAGAACCCACCAGCCTGTCCTTGCAAACCCTATGGGGCAGTTCTATTCTGTCCTATAGGGTCGTTATGAGTCGGAACCGACTCCAAGGCAATGGGTAACACATTCTGATGGATGCTTACTGATAATAATGTCAAGCCATTTAAGGAGAACCAAAGAAATGAGACAAGTAAAAATCATGTATAAGATGAAGACATAATCTTTGAAAATCCAGAAGTTATGGTAATTGGGTCTCAGCCCAACGCTCTTCTTTAAACAGAATTTGTCTAAAGAGCCACATCTTCCTTATCACCATTTCTTTCAGTAGCCCACTCAAAGGGGGCAAGCATTAGTTGGTAAACTAACCAAACATAAGGTTATCATGACGGTAACTCCTGAAGATCACTTCCCTCAATTCTTCACCGTTTTGCATGTGTGACAGATTAAGTAAGAAGGAATAGCAGAGAAATATAGTTTAAAAATAATCATAGGGTTACTAGACGGGGCTATAAAATAAACAATCACACCTGTGAAGAAGGTGCTCCTTAGAACAATTGACTATATAAGACCAAAAGGCCAACATCTGCCCATAAACCAAAGATGACAAGATAAGGAGGGACAGGGAAAGCGGACTAATGGAAAGGAGGAACCCAGGGAGGAAGTGGGGAGAGTGCTGACACATTGTGGGGATTGCAATCAAGGTCACGAAACAATTTGTGTAAGAATCATCTATTGGAAAGCTGATTTGCTAAGTAAACTTTCACCTAAAGCACAATAAAATGTTTTTTTAAAAAAAAATGATTATAGGGATTAGGATGCTCTAAGTCCTGTTTGTAAGTGTATCAACCATCTAACTGAATGGTGAACTTTTGTTGAAACACTCCCAGAGAGACCTGTGCGGGCAATCCCTCCTGAAACACACCTGGAAATACCCTTCGACCAGCGAGGCCCGGCAAGAATTTCATCTAAGAGCTAAAGAGGCCTCACGAATGAGGAAGGAAAGGAGGAAGCCATCAGCCGACACGGGGCAGCTCCCTCACCCCGCTGTCCCCCCCCTCCCCAAAAGCTGTAGGAAGTAGAAAGCGACAGAATGTACCTTCCAGGCCAAAAGCAAAACGTTGAGGATAGCCAGCAAGGGGCAGGGGCCGTTCTCGTTCTGGGTGATGATAGGGGTGTTCTCCTCCTTCCACTGGATCCACTTGATGTGGTAGACAGACTGTCCCGGGAAGCGCTCCCTGGACGCTGCCCGCACCAGCGCGGCCTCCTCCTCCGCCCCGGGCCGCCCCGCCGCGCCCTCCTCCTCGTCGGGAGCCCTGCTCTCCGCGCCCTCCTCGCTAGTGAACTCGGAGCTGCTGGGGAACGAGTGCAGGTTAGAGAAGGACTCCAGGGAGTCCAGGCTCGGCGAGTCCCCCGGCGGGCTCGGGTCGCTGCCGCTGCTGCTGAGGCCGCCCGCGCTGCTGGGCTCCTCGGAGCCGGCGGCCG